AATTTCTTTTCTTAATTAAATAATTAATTAGCTTTTTAATTCAATTTAATTTCAAAAGGGGTCAAAACCCTCGGACGTCCTAACTTTTATTCTTTCGCGCATTGTTTTCTTTTCGAATATTATGTAACTGCTCAAGGCTTGTAATAGTAATTAGGAATTTATTTACTTTCCGCATCTTTTACCAAACGGGTCTTTGTAATTTGGCGATGTATAGACTCGCGCCTTGTAATAGCGTAGGATTTATCTTTCCGCATTTAAATTTCAGCACTTTTAAATTCTAATTGCATGAAAGAATGTATGGTTAACTAAAAATAACTCGTAGCTCACAAATGCCATGATCAAAGATAATTGCTAAACTAAAAATAACACACAAACTCACACACCACTTCTAGGGTACGCCTCACCTGTTGCCTTACCTTCGAAACGTGGTCGTCGAGTATAGGACGTTTTAGTAAGTCCTTATGTCCATGATCCAGTTGCCTCGAAACAGTTGCCTCTGATTAAAAAAAAGGATCAAGGGCATAAGAGTAGCTTCTAAGGTGTCCTACTGTTGCTCTGGTGACCACACTGTCCCTAAAAAGCGAATTGACCCAAACACCTCCAACGGTGGTGCTACCTACCTCTCAATGGTGGGATGGCACTACCTTAAGGACATTTACACAGCCTAATTCCTTAGGGTAGGTAGATGACTCGTAGATACTTGCTCTATTCAAAAACAAATCAAAACTCTTTTCACACCGACACTTTAAAAAAAAAAGCTTTCAAAACAATTTTTCAAACACTCTTGAGGACTGATACAAGAGTTATTCCGAAATCTTTAAACGAAACTTTTTTCAAACCCACTCACACTTGAAAAGCAAACCTTTTGAAAACACAAATGAGTAAGTATCTAAGAGCCCATGGATAACCATGGATAGAAATGATGCTAACACCTTCCCTTTCTATAAATCTACCTCCCGAACCGAGAGACATCTCGAAAAAGGAATTTTGCTGTGCTTTTGTCCTTTCCATGTTGGAGAAAATAAAAGACGGTGGCGACTCTTGCTTCCGCGACATTTCGCGAACCAGCGTTAAACAGTCAGTTCTAAATCCACCGATCACACATAGGCTGTACAATCATTCTAAACTATAGTGAAATCTCTTTCGTATTGGAAAGGGGACTGGAGTACTCTCGGATTGTGAGGGGAACCAGGATATATCGCCGTGTTCTTTACTTTTCCGCTTTTATCGTTTTCATCACCATAATCAAGAAAAGATAAGATATAGTCAAAAACCTTCAAACACTTAACCACAAATTACTACAAGTATTCTCATAAAACCGAATAAATTTTTATATACCTAATTCACCCCCTCCCTCTTAGGCACTCTTAGACTTACAAAGTGGTCTCATTTCCAAGCTGCTGTCAGAATTCTGAGATATATCAAGGGAACTCTGAAATATGGAGTGTCGTTTCCTTCTGAAAGAAAGACAGAACCAAAATTAGTAAGTTATTTTGATTCTAACTGGTGTGGAGACAGAGTGGACAAGAGAAGTACTTCTGGATACTTGTTTAAATTTCTGGGAGGTCCCATTTCCTGGAGTTCCAAGAAACAGCCTACCGTGGCTCTGTCAACGTGTGAAGCTGAGTATATCGTAGGTGTTGTAGCTGCTTGTCAAGCTGTTTGACTTCTGAATCTCTTGCATGATCTGAAAGTTGAAGTTGAGGAACCTTTGAAGCTGATGATTGATAATAAGTCTGCAATTGATCTTGCCAAGAATCCAGTGCTACATGGAAGAAGTAAGCACATTGAGACGAAATATCATTTTCTCAAAAGTCAAGTACATAAATGTGTGTTAGAAGTTCTGCACTGCAACACCCAGAAACAGCTAGGAGATCTTCTGACGAAGGCAGTTAAGACAGACCAATTTCTTCGTTTGAGAGATGAAATTGGTGTTGTTAGCTTCTCATAGAAAATCTAATTTAAGGGATGGTATTGGAAAGATAATTTAGTTAATTTCTACAATTCCCAATGCTTATCTTTTAATATGACCTTTTGACATTTTCAATATATAGTATAAATATGCTATCATAGACTATCAATATTTGACCCTATTTTATCTCCTCTATTTTGATATATAACAATAGTCTTCTTGTTATCATTCTTTGTTCATTCTTCTTCTCCCACTTCATTACCTTGCACCAACAAATATAATACTCTAAGTGATTAAACATGTATTTGTGTTATAGAAATATTACTTTTTTACTATTCATTTATTTTAAAAAAATAGCAAAAGTTAGTTTGTAGATTATTTTATTAACTGTGTAACACATAAATATATCATATTTAAAGAAGTTTGCATTTATTTAGTGGTCATGATACAAAAAATAATATGATAAATTATTATTTTTGTTTAGTTGAAATTTCACATCTTAAAAGCTGATACATAACAGAGATTAAATGTTAGAGAGGGTAGCTATACTATTGCAAGCGCCTACGAAAGTGTGCCACAGAAGTAACTTAGGCATTGTTGAGAATTGGAAGGATATATGGAAGATCAATGTTGCTGAAAGGGTGAGAGTTTTTATCTGGATGGTCAGACATGGGGGGATTAAAACTAAGCAGCTCATGTATGCGAGGGGCCTTGGGGAGCCTTATTGCAAAGACTGTCATCAGGGAGAGGAATCGATTCTGCATGTTCTTATCTTCTGAAATTTTCATATAAAAAAGATTTCCCTCTTATATTTTAAGGTTATTTTGTTTTAGACCATTTTAGTATGAATTTGAAGGAGATGTACGATGTTATACTGTTATCTAATAAAAACATACCGTTTTAATATTATATAATTTTTTTTAAAAATGATAATTAAATTTGATTAAATTTATGATTGTAATTGATTAATAATATAAATTTTTTATATATCCGTGTATCATCTATTTTCTTTTTTAATATATGATTGTGCAAAATTCATGACATGACATAAAGTGTTAGATAATTTTTGTTTTTTTTATACATATGACATTTTAATAAATGTGGCATACAAGTGGAAATTAAAAGTCATATTCATTTCAACCATTTCTTGTTATTTCACTCTGCATTTAAAACACAAACATTATTATTGAAGTCTTTTCGTCGCTCGTAATATGAAGCCTCACAATTATTATTTTCAATTCAAATTGTTCTTCTTCTCCAGTTCGTTCTCTTCATCCATTTCTTTATTACATTCTCTCGTTCTCTATTATGTTAAATCTTTTTAGTGAAATTTTAAGAAATTTGGATTTATTGTTAATTTTTTTTTGAACTGTCGAATTAAATTGAATTGAAATTAAAATAACTGAATCATTATATTTGATTATTGAACCAAATTGTATTATATAAACAGTTTTAGAATCAAATTAAAACTGAAACTGAACCGAACTAAAATTGAAAATGAAAAAATATTAAAAACAAGTTGTTAGGTTGATTGTATTGTGATTGACAATATTTTATTAAAACAAGTAAAATAATAAGATGTTGAACAAGATGTCTTGACATGCTTGTACGACATCGTGGCATGCTGTGATTTTCGCATTTTCAGAAGATTTGTTTCAAATTCTCAAAAGATTTGATTTACATATACTGCAGTATGCGTGTATGAAGATTTGATTATCTAAATATTTGTTTCAAGAGTGAGATCCCTTTATTTCTACGGTCAAAATTATTTTTAACATTGATTTTATAAATATTCGCTTCCAAACTTATTTAAAAATATAATAATTTATTTCAGATCATTTATATTTTTAAATAAAAAAATATTTGTTCGTCTTCATGTATTTTCAATTGACTTTTTATTTTGAGTACACAATTGATAAGAAATTAAGCTTGCGAGTTTGAATCTTGGGTGTTACACTTTTAAACTTTTTTTTCTTCTATTTTTTTGTTATTAATTTTCTTTCCTTTTTTAGAAATTATGTTTTAGGCTTTTCATTCATTTAAATTTTAGTTTGTCTTCTGTTAAATCGTATGATGATATCTTTCTGATAATTGTATTTTTTATCTATAAATTTATTATCATATTAATACATCATAGGCCAACTTTCTTTCTTTCACATAAACAATTTCTTTCTTTGAGGCTATTCACTACAGACTAACACGGTAAATATTTTCCATTAACTCTCTCTTTCAAAAACCCTTATTCAGTTGACATTCTTTACGGTATTACAAAATAGTTTTTTAACACTAGGAGAGAGTTTCACTCTTCTTCACACACTAAAAGAAATCCTTTTTTATTTATATAATTTCTATAAATTTTCACCAACTCCTTTTCACATGTTAACTAACCAGTAAAACAACCTTTTTTTCCTTCACTTTCAAACCATCATCAACATGAACTTGTAAACATAAACCATGAGATAACATAACACCATTGTCATTCAAAATAAACTCCATCAAACTAACCTTTTCAAATCTAAAAAATGTATAACACATACCCTAATTTCAACACAAATCTGGCATACAACGACATTAAACCTGTAAAAAAGGAATTTTTTTTAATAAAGTTTTGTCTGAACATTCAAGTTTTCATACATCAAAACCTATAACAATCACAAATATTTCACTCACAGGAAGTCACAAACTCCGACGAGTCCAGATCGACCGCCCTACTTTGTGAAGAACGAGCGGCCATCATCGCGCACACCCTCCAATCACCCGCAACCTTCAACCTTCACGACCACCACAACAAGAATCCACCGTCGGTTCAAGACCCTGCAACCGCTCAACCACCACCTCAACCTCACTCCGATTCTGTTAGTGCTGCCGCTCAGACCCTCTGATCTCCTCCGTAGCAGCCTTCGTTTCCGCTCCACCATGACTAAACATCACCTCCGATTCCAACTCAAGGCCGATCGAAGACCAACCTACAACCGACGAGATCGATGCCGTATCTGCCACACACCACTGCGGATTCCAGCTGCGAACGGATCATCAGATTCGCGCTCCCTTTTGCTTTCTACAGTAGCTCTCTGACGAAGCCATATGATCACACTCTAGCCGGAACTACCATCCCACCTTCGTTTCCGCTGCTCGTTAACTGGCAGTCATCTTTTTTTTTTCCATTATTTTTTCTATGAATTTTTACTATGATTGTTTTGGGGGTTGGGGGAGAATAGATTGAAGGAAAATAGGAGAATGGAATGTGATGCCCCTCGTATGCGTGTGAATACGCCAGGTTCATTTTTTTATTATCATCTTTTTTCATTTTATAGGCCAAGTGTCAAGGATTTGTTGGTTATTAATATTGGATTAAGTCAAACTTGTTTCACGATACAGTATAAGATGGTCGCCTCTCCCATTAGTTGTACATCATCCATTTTTTTTCAATATTTTTGTTTTTAATAAATTAAATAGGGCTACCTCTTAGAATTACGCTAGTAAGTTGTGTGGGCTTTTGGGTCTTATTCTTTATTGTTTACACCATTCCTATTTCTTTCTTGCAACACTTAATTTTATTTAAATAATTTATTTTAATTTCATTTTAGTTAATATATTTTATTTAAATTATTTTTAATACTAAAATTATATAAAAGGTCATAAAATATGTTTTATCAGTTAATTAGACTTTTAGGTTAAGTTCATTAGATTACTTTTAAATCAAATTAATTCTAACACATTATAAATAACAGGATCGGTGGATACACATTTGCTATATTATTTGATTGGCTCAACGCTCTGTCAATTAACTGTTCAACATTAAAACATTAAAACCCGCGCGTCAGGCTCCATGCAGTGATGTAGTTATCAAGATTTTTTCAATTATCTATCCCCTAGGTTGCGATAGATATGTGAATAAATCTGCATAATCCATTACATCAGTCTACAAGAAGTAATGTATTATCAGACTTTGATTTATTTATCTCCTAGGTTGTGATGAATAGACAAAATCAAATTAAAACTTGCTATATTAGTCTCAGAGCATTAGTAAGTCATCTTTTCAAACTTGTATCGTTTACCTCGTAGGTTACGGTAAATATGCAAACGATCTCTTCTTAGATACTGACGAGTTGTCTGCATCGTCATGTCTAAGTCAAATCAACTTTGGTTTAAACGCGGATTATATGATACATTGTCATTTATGCTTACTCTTCATACCAATGGGAACGTTGTACAACATATCCTTCTAATCTTTTGGACAAATTTTGGGATCTTCCAATATTTAATAAACTTCCGATCAAAATGTATGAGACCTACGTATTCTCGCACTATTCAATCGAACGACAATTAAATAGGGGCAGTTGTCATACACCAAATTTGCCCTAATTATTCCTAATTTTTTTTATTCCTATTGCTAAAAATTACCTTTCTTTATTAAATATTATTCATATAGTTATGGGAGTTTAGAATTTATAAAGAGGGGTTTATCTTATAAAGAAATCAATGGGCCTTTCTAAATCAGAAAAGCCCATGTAAGTTTTTTTGAGCCAACTGCATTTTTGGGTATGATTTTGTTCAGGTTTCAACCTATTTTAAATATTGAAAGGAGTTACACTATTTTGAGAAATCACGAGCCTTTCTAAATCAGAAAGGGCCCATGTAATTTTTTAGTCCATTTCAAATATTAAAAATGGGGTGTATAATGCAATTTATTTTCTTGTTAAAGCCCAATAAATTGAAACGGTATGACCCAATTCAGTTTTTGATTTTCGTTTTAAAAAAATGCTTTGTTTAAATTATAACATTATTATTATTATTATTATTAAAATTATTATTAACCTATTATTAATGTTACTATTTTTATTATAATAAAAACATAAGCAAATATGTGCATGAACTTTCCAGAAACAATATCATGCCAAAGCAGAAACTAGGTTAATCCACATAATCAAAACCTGTTGCAATGTTCAAACAAGATTAATACTAATATAGAAACTAATCAAGGATATCACAGATTTACAGACAAAATCAAATTCATATTCAAAACATAATTAAAATCGTATAACAAATTACAAATATATTAATCTATTTCCTAATATACTAAACTCTTAAAACACTATAAAGCCGAATTGTTAAAACAGAATAAAGGACCAACAAAAAAATCAGAGAGGAAAGAATTACAGAGAAGAAAATTATTAGAAGGAGGAAAATTCGTAACAAAAGAAGGACATAGAAGTCTCGCCGTTGTAATCCCTGTTCACTGCCGCCTAGGGTTTCAACATATGAAACCCTAGATCCAATCGTCACGTCGTTGCCACCATCAAATCTCCGCCTTAATCATCATCTTCGGCTTCCATCTGCGAATCAAAAAGAGAGAACTTAGAAAGGGAACCGAAACAAAGAAATTTAAGGCGCCGAAAGGTAATCTCTAACTTAGCTTGATGGTTAGTTGATGCTTTATATGCCCCCTTAGTTTTACTAACGCACTCAAAAACATACTCCCTTGTGCTTTTGGGCCTGAATTCAATATTTGAATTCAGGCCCATGCTATTGACACCTCTTATTTTTACTCCTAAGTTATATTCACACCCCTTGCTTCTATTTAGTTTTCTTCATTATTTTTATATTTTCTATTTTCTTTTTATAATTATAATATTATAATATTTATTATTATTATTAAATCACACAATTATTATTTTCTAATTTCATCCAAAATATTATATATTTTTATTGCATAAATATATTTTTAATCATGCATTTAAATAAAGATGTTTTCTACAATTAACACATAAAAAATATTCAACTTACAATAAACCATTTTTCATAACTAAATTAATTCAACAATTAATTTTTGAAAAGGATTACGAAGCACATTTTAATTAATTGCGCGCTTTGTCTAAATATCTCCGCTATTCACACACCTAGACTAAATATGCGGGAAATTCAAATATCTTCGTAATCCATAAAAAACATAAACCAACTGCGAACTATGAATTAGGACTTTGATTCCTCATAAGAGGATACATAGGCATACGACTAAAATCGTGGTGAGTTCCCCTAATAAAACATTAAAACCATATTTCTTAAAAATTGCGCTTCTAACCCTAGTATCCTTGTGAACAAGGTAGATGAGAGGTGCCTAACACCTTCCTTTCGTCTAGAACCGAGTCCAAAAACCTAGAATCTCTAACTTTTAGGGTTATCCTTTATATTCCATTCCTTAGGATAAAAATTAAGGGTGGAGACTCTTATTTTAAAACTAGTTACAATAGAGATCACTGCTAAACAAGTTACACAATGGCCAAGGAAGGTCAAGCTGACAACTAGTAAGTTGAGTGTAAAATATGTTGTGCTACATAGAATTAGAGCTGCCAATTGGGTTCTCACTAATCATACCTCTACTATTGCCACATGTTTAGGTAAATTTATTTACATTGTTGGAACCAAAACCAAGTTTGATTTTGGGTCCTATGTGTTAAAGAAAACCATGAAGCATGCTAATGCTTGTGCTGTGAAAATGCCTATTGTTTTCCCCTCTTTAATTTGTGGTGTAATTCTCAATCAACATCCTGGTATTTTGGTTAGCTCTGATGTTGCATATAAGAGGGAATATCCTCTATCACTGCACTACAAGTTATTTGCAGAAACACATGTCCCCGACATTGTCGTGACATTTGGTAAGGAAGTTTCCAGATCAACTTCAAGGGAATGGATCTTTACTGAGCTGAAGGATACCTGTAAAACTTTAGATGAGACCATCAAATCTTGTACTGAGAAGAAAAACCTTATCTAAAGAGGATGATGATGGACACTTGGATGGTGTTGAGGAAGATAGAAATGATGATGAAGGAAATTTTGTTGTAGGTGGTGATAATGATGAGGAAATAGATGGCAGTGTTGACATCTGATGTGCCCTATTTCCTTTATTTTCCATTGTTTCTTTTTGTGGGCTTTGCCCTGGATATTTATACATATTGTATGCTTTTGGCCTGTAACCTATAACTCTGATCTGCTACAATTATGCGTCTTTTCTTCTCTTGGTGATTGAATGGTAGTTTTGTTAAAGTTATGGCTAAAAGGGGGGAGTAATGTGTGGTTAGTGTGGAATTTTGGTTTGATTTTGGTTTTTTTTCCCTTAAGGGGAGTACTACATGAGGAGGAGTACTACATGAGAGGGAGTATTATTTTTTGTTGATCTATGATTTAGGTGGAACTTGGTTTCTTTTATAGCCTGATGATGACATGATAATATTGTGCTAGTTTATGTGCTTGATGCATGGTTGCATGTGGGGTCATACCTAATGTCTTAACATCCTGACTGTGAGAATTTATTTTTCTCTGAAGAGGGTTCTATTTGTGAGAGCTTATTTCTCTTTGTTGTTGTATTATGTGAGATTGGGTTTTATCTTTTCTGTTGCGTGTGTCTCTGATGTGTCTTGGTGAAGTTCCAATTTTATTGTGCAGTTTTACCTACCATCCTTCTGTTATTGATTGTCTGTGGAAGTCTTTTTTTTGGTATTTACAAGATGAGTTATGTAAAAGGTTGTTTTAGCCAAAATTTTCAAAAAAGGGAGATTGTTAGGTTGATTGTCTTGTGATTGGAAGCATTTTGTTAAAACAAGTGAAATAGCAAGATGTTGGACAAGATGTCTTGACATGCTTGTACGACATCATGTCGTGCTGTTGTTTTTGCATTCTCAAAATATTTGTTTCAGATTCTCCAAAGATTTGATTTACGTATACTGCGGTCCAAGATGCATGTATGATGATTTGGTTCTATAAAGATTTATTTCAAGTGTGAGATATCTGAATATTTGTTTCTTAAGATTATATGTCAAAATATTTAAGGAAACATTTGATTATGTTCCGAAGATTATGCAGAAGATTGTACAACAGTCTATTTTGGATCTGCTCATTGTTTAGCCTGAAGCCTATGCTATTCTAAGGATATTCTAAGGCTATTTAAAAGAAGAATCTAAACCTAAAGAGATCACTGAGGTGTGCATGTGATAGTGTATATTAGGGTTTAGTCTACTCATTGTTATTTGTGAGCCACTCTCATATCACTTAGATGCTTGAGCTGGACTAATATTTGAGTTGTAATTGTGAATCACTCATAAGCTTTTAAGTAAAAGTGGATTCTATTTTTTGGATTGTGTATCTTATTTTTTTGTTATCATTGTCATCACTATTGTATGATTGAAGGGAAGTGATAGAGGGGTGTTGTACCCCAAAATTTGCCCTCCCATTTCCTCAACATTTTCTCATCACAAGACCCTTGAAGATCAAGATCAAGTCAGGGGTTCCTCTGCTCAAGACTTCTCCTTG